CTAAACCCTAAATGGCCCAAAATCCGAAACGGGAAAACCCTTGAACCCCAAAACCGGAAAACCCCAACCCTTAAACCCCAAACCCAAAAGCAAAACCCCCAACACCCAAAAGCCCACTTGGAGGGTCGGGGGACTCAGTAACTGGTTATTTTGGGGGGGACTTATAAGTACCATAACTCCAATTCAGGTCCCTTTTACGGTACTTATAAGTCTACTTACTACCTACTTACTAAGTCCCCTAAAGACCCTCCAAGCAGTCGCGCGATTCCGTGTTCGGGGCGTGACTTCTGCTCAGCTGGATCTCAAGCAAGCCAGCGTCCCCAAAGACTCCAATATGCCTTAATCATGCATATACCTTAAACCATATTAGGGACACTAGTATCATGTAAGGCATGGAGAAACACTGTACATAATTACATCTTCCCATTGCAGAAGCCCTGTCCATTGAGGCCTCAGCCCTCACCCGATCCAAAACCCCAAACCCCATGCGAAGCATTCGCTGCAGCCTCAAACTCCGAAAGCCGAACAACTCAACAACCAACTTAGGGCCCCAAAAAAGCACATAAGCAAAAATTAGGGTAGGGATATCCCATATAAATCCCCTTATAATGAAGCCCAATAAGGTAGGGATATCCCCATAACATGCTTATGCTTATGTGCTTTTTTGGGTCCCTAACAACTCTGGGAAGCCCGACACGGCATAGGGTTTAGGGGTTCAGGGTATAGGCTGTGATTTCTTTGTTCCGGTCTGCAATGGTTTAGGAAGCTCCGCTGACGCAGCACCTGCCTAGAGTCTCCAACGTAATTCGGGCTACCTTCTTCGGGGCTGAGTACCCTGGCCCCCCGAAAGGTCGACCTTCTCAATTATGGTCCAATGGTAGAATTGTATAAACCATAAACCGAAAAAGGTTGCCTATTCAGCTACGACTACTCCTTGCTTGTTATGAAAAATGCCGCAGGACCTTATCCATAAGCTTGGTTCATCAGAAGGAAGAACTGCATTGGACATTATGTGTATGTAACCCCTAAACACTATCCCCAAACCCTAAACCCCATAAGCTTTAAACCCTACCAGCCCTAAAGCCCCAAACCACGAACCCCAAACCCCAAACACTAAACTCCACAAACCTAACCCTCAACCCTCAACCATAAACCCGAAAACCTAAATCCTAACCCCCGAAACCTAAACCTTGGTCCCCCGGCTCTGGCTGGTGTTGCATCCCGGACTGCAGGTCCTTAGCTTAGGGCTTGGGCCTGAACGCCTCGAGTTTAGACTTTGGGGCTTAGCCAAGGGGGGGGGGGGGGGGGGGGGGGTGTGGGGTTTAGGGGTTTAGGGTCTCCTGAACTTCTAAGCAAAACCTTGAGAAGCAAATCGACAAGAACCTATGACTACATGGCTCGGGCCTGCAAGGCTAAAGACTGCAAATCAACGCAGCTTGTGCTCGCTCACTGCTTCTGAACTGGTGCGAAGGGTTCGTGAGTTCGTGGAGATGATCTACTGTGCCAACATCTCAGGCAACAGCTAGGGGTGACGCTCACTGCTGAAGTTCCTCGTGCTCTGCCCACAGTAGCCGTGGCGCGGCTCGCCCCCTGGCATCTGGCGCCAATCGTCGGACGTGTGTTGTCCTTGGTGAACACCTTCTCGCCACAAACCATTACGAAGTTCATACGGAACTCCTCCTTCTGAGTCTTCAGGGAAATACGATCGCAGGCGGGGTGCGCAACAGTTGCTGACTTACTTACGAACGGTGAGGTCCATTGTGTCCGTTGCTTGAAATCAGATGCAGGGCATTAATCCGAAACCCTTAACTTTCCAAGCCCTACCTCGACCCCCAAGTACCCAACATCGCCTAAACATCAACGAGTTCTGTTTCTTTGCTGTCCTTATAACAAGGATCCTACTATCTAGGGTACTATATTAGGGTCCCCTATTTTGGGAAACTCTCATGTGTCGACGACGGGGTACCTGTGAGCAAACCCCCCACACCCTGAGGAGATGCGAACTTGGGGGCCTCAATAATCTTGGGGGGGAGGGGGGGGGGGTATCGGTAGCATCTTCTACTAGCTATAGGTGTCGATTTCAACATGGCTCTATAGTACATGATGCTGGAAATTGAAAAGTTGAACCGAATCGATACCTAGCCTAGTATGAGTATACACGGAAGCCTCAGAAGCGGTATTACTAGTCACGCAGGCCCCTATGTTTGACAACTGCCCTCATCACCTACTTCCATTGTGTCGGGCTGCGGGACTTTCAACGTCCTGGCGTATTAGAGCCGCGGTTTGGTATTAGGTTATAATACTGTTGTTCCTTATTATGACTATAGCATAATATATCCCTAACCATATTCTGTTTATTAAGGCTATCTTACCCTGGGGCTCCAGTTGCTTGCATTGTACGCCGCTAGCAATGAAATTGATATGCGACCCAGTAGAACATTCTTCGGGTAAGTGGGGCCCCAGGGTTGCATCTTAAACTCAACATCCCAAAGGGTCCAAAGTACCTTTATAGAAGAATGTAGGAATTTCTACATTAGGAACTACTAGTATGATTTGGGGATGTATCCCCCATAACAGTACCTAGGACCCTTTGGGCATTTATAGAGACTATGAAGATTCTCGGTTCCTAGACCCGAGAGTGCACGGAGGCTGTGATTCCGGGAAGCTGGTGATGTACGATAGAGCAACTATAGACTTAGGAGCAAAGAGGAATAGTATATGGAACTATTCCGGCTTCTATGGTGAAACTAAACCCTAAAACTCCAAACTTTAAGCCCTGCCATACTAATAGGTTACGATATCCTTGCGGATTTCAGAGCTTAAGGTTTTCAGTGTTGTGTCGCAAGGGTTTCCGGGCCGGGTTTATAGGGTTTAGCACCAAAAGAGCCAACAACCCCACACCTCCGAAATCGCCTCAGCTCGCGGCGAGGCGTCATACGTGAGGGTACCCATGGTGCAGTACCTGGTGGTGCAGGAACCCTTCGTTCTCATGTGTCAAAACACAGATCCATATGTACATTTATATACATGTAAATAAGTACATATATTTACATTTATATATGTACACACACACATCCACACCCGCGTAAACAGAAATAACATATGTATATCTCTATATCTATATATATATATATATATACATATATATATATATATATATATACATATGCACAAATAAGAATCCAACATGTATATATGTCTTTATAGAGAACCCCCCAACATCCTCAGTCCACCAACCCATCCACCTCCCCAATCCCCCGCAAGGTCGAAGAGCACCCTCACAACTCGCCCCCAACACAATCAGAAGACCCCACGACTCCCAAATCCTAGAGCCGATGCTCCCAACCCGCAAAACCCAAAAAATCCGAAAGTCCCAAATCCCAAAACATAAAACCCCTAGCTGCCCCAGGGAACAGCTCGTAGTTGCCCGTGAATCCCGAGTTCACATCAGCGCAGGCCTGCGCCACGAGATGGTCCAGAGCATCAGGTTTAGTGTTGTTGATGTAGGGCTTGGTGTTCAAGAGTAAGGGTTCATTCAGGTTTAGGGTTCAAGCTGTACGGTGTTCTGGGCTGAGGACTCGATCAAAGCTTCAATGTAGGTCTTCGGGTTGCCTGCAGACTTAGACACACTTTCAGACAGACTGCCTGGTTGATGCCTTCCCTGAAGTTGATCTGTTAAGTATGGGTATGGGGCGATGATCACCATCCACCCTCCTCTGATATCACCAATCCCCATAACAACCTACTAAACCTCCATAAAAAGAAACCTGACCAAATAACCCTAACCCCTAAACCCTAAACCCCTAATCCTCAAACCCTAACCCCTAAAACCCTAAGCCCTAAAACCCACAACCCCCAAAAGCTTCCGGCCGGCCTGAGTTGACACCACGCCAGAAGCCATGTTGGCGGGCGGCGTGACCGACGCCGTCGTGGCCCCGATCTGGGCGAAGGTTTAGGGTTCTGTTCGCCTGCAATCCCAAAAGACCCTAGGTGCCCTGAACCCAAAAAGGGTCCAAGTAATAGTATAGTATAGTATTTTGGGGGCCCATATACCTACTAAGTAGCTACTATGATTCTACCTGGACCCTTTGGGTAAAGGAAGCAATGCCTTACAGAACCCTTCAAGAAACCTGAAAGGAAGCTGTCCCTCCTCGAGCCCTTGATGCTTGTCCCTCGTAGTACCGCTGAGGAACCCTTATGAGAAACACCCAAACAGACTCGGCTGTTCCTGCGAGAACAGACTACCCAGGGACTCCAATATCCCTTAAAACTATAGTAGGATCCCTAACATCCTGAACTTTAAAGCGCTTTGACTACCTAACTCCCGCCTAATACAAAATCATGACCCCTTCAAGCCCAGATGAAACTTGCTTGAAAACCACCATATTTGGAACCTCCAGTAAACCCCCATAAAAGAACGTCCGACCCTGTTTAGCGGTGCTCTCGGTCGCCCGCTGTGACATCCACAGGGTCAGCGCAGCCTTTAGGCCTCGGTGTGGCATTGCCACTCAAGAGCTTGGATTTAGGGTTTAGGGTATAGGGTGGCATCACATTAACCCGAAACCCAATGGGTCCGAGTAATACTATAGTATATACTTTTGGGACCCAAATGTCTACTAAGTACCTACTTTACTGTTATTTGGACCCGTTGAGAAATGGCCTACCTGCCTGGGGCTCCTTGTGATGATGTCGGTATACAAGTGGGTGGTTGTCAAAATTATGGTCCCTTTTTGGGTACCCTAAATATTAGGTGCCGTATTGAATTAGGGCCCAAAAGAAGACTGCAATTTCGACACCCACCCAAGTACTTGAAGGGGTAAGCTTTTGTAGGGTTGAGGCTTCGGCTATCCGGTGGATCCAAGAGCCTTACCCTAAGGCTCTCTAAGGACTAATATCTTGAGGCTTTTGGGTTTAAAGGCCATATTATATACGGCTTTTGGTTAACTTGGAGTCTCAGGGTTAGGTTATACCCTCGGGAAACAGGAAGCATGACGACTCGGTCAGAGTTTGGGCGTTCTCATGGGTCCTGCAGAGATTTCATGGGTTTGCTGTGCCGTAGTGTGAATGTCTACATGCTCTGTGGCACGATCCCAGTCCTCGTCAAGGAGTGCACAGATCAGATTGCACACGTTCTGCTGCCAGACCGACGGCTGCATCTGCTTCCCAGCCGGGTCCTGGTCGAGCACGGCAGTGATCAGGGGAACGGCTTTGTTTTTCCACCCTCCCTTGACCTTGCCCGGTCCAGCCGCCACGAACTGCTCGCTGCACCAGAAGCGGACGAACCGGTCCACTGCTCGTCGGTGGTCCTTCTGTCGTCTCTGGCCCACCAGTCGTCGCTGGACCTCCTGTCGTCGCTGGACCACCAGTCGTCGCTGGACCACCAGTCGTCGCTCGACCACCAGTGGTCTCTCGTTTGCCCTGAAGAAGGCATTCAGGGTTTCAGCAGAAGTTGCATGCTCTGAAAACTCTGGAAAGGTGAGGTCCCTGAGCCCAAAGAACAACTAGCCACTATGTTTTAGGCGGATGTTATGGGGTTTAGGGTGCTGTAGAGCTTGCGGTTTATGGTTATAAGCACTGCAAAAAACGCTCCAGCACTCTTTTACAAGGCCTTGCAGGGCCTTGCGTGATGATGAAAGAAATGATGATAGCAATATTATATACTAAATCGGGACTTCTGAGCCCAAACCGGGAACCAGCACCCTGCGGAGCTTCAGGGCATACTGTTCAGGGTTTAAGGTTCGGGGTTATAGGGAAGAATGGGCATATCAGAGTGGCAGATGTTTACTGCAAATCTAGGTCCCATCGCTGATTTTACTATGACCGCGTACTAGGTTCCGCTTAGGTCACGCATCTTAACCTTACAAGTCCATATGTGCAACAAGTCCCCCGAACCTCCCAACAAAACGGGTCTGGGAGAGCTGCACGCAGCTGCCAGAGTTCTCCTTCAGCACGCCCGAACTGCACCTTGGCTTGCGGGGTGGTTTCATGAGAAGTCTCCGGCTTTGGGGGTGAAGGGTTCAGGGCTTGGGAAATCAAGTCGCATGATCGAGGTGGAGCTTAAATAGGGTTTCCTCGTATCGGGGTGGCGCGGGCGCTGCGGCTGCTTGGGATTCGGAATCGCTCAGGGAGGGATCGAACTACAACTCCTATCTGAACTGTATCTATTATAGAATAGTTAGAATGGGGTTTGTGGGCGCCACCATTAAAATTAGGAACCCCCAAAGTTGTATTGGTAATTGTTATGCCCCTATATTATCTCTAGCCTGAACCCTCCGTGTGAAGAGAAGTGAACCCGACCCGAGAGCTCCACAGCTCGGATCCTCGATTCCCGAAACTACGATTTAAGGTCTAGGGTTTGGGTGTAGAGTTTAGGGTTTAGGGTTGACTTCAAGGTTCAGGGTTTAGGGCCTGGACCGCCCTTCCGCAGAACAGGCCGAGCGGGTTTCACGATGGCTGTGCCAACGGAGGCATTCCTTACTGTCTCGTTCCGGCCTTCACGACCCAATCCTACATCTCCGACTCTACCGTGAGCCTGAATTATGAAAACAAGATCTTGGCATATACAATGTCGCAGAAGTATAGGAAAGGAACCACAAAATGGCATTAGTAATTACTTAAGCCCCGATGTGACATATACCCCAGCAGCCGATATCCTGCACCACCCTGCTTAAGGCCGTAAGACCCAAACCCTCACAACCTCAGGCAGGATCTAGGCATTAGTTGCTTTTTGTTGAGGGCCTTTTCTGGTGCCTCTTTAGTTTTTTAGGGTTGGGGATTTAGGTTCAGGGTTTCGGGTCGAGGGTCGCCACACCCCACCCCAAACCCTCAGTCCCAAACCCTACCAGTAGGCCGCCCCATAGATGGCAACCTGAATTCCGGAACCCTGATGCCCTGAACACGCCCTGCAAATAATGTAAAGCACTTCCCTGACAAAACCACCAAAACTGCCCCTGCAAACCCCAAAACCCTTACAAACCCTTACAAAAACCATTGCAAACTGCCAGAAAACTTGGTTGGAAGCCTCGAGTTAGACGAGGTTGTTGAGGTATACTGTAGCATAGTTAAGCCACGGAATCCTAAGGAACAGTTTTTCTTCAAGAGTACAAGTTCCCGAATAGTGTGGCTTCAGGTGCTAACAACCATCCAGAGTATGAACTTGGTACCTTAACCCTACCCCTGGGGATCAAAATAGCCCAAAAGCCTTATATAGTATGGTCTTTGAGCCCCAAAGCCTTAATATATGAGTCCTTAGATCCCTAGGGTACTACTACGTGGGTACTTGGAACCTCTTTGGGTGTTATTCAGGCCCCCATCTTAAAACAAAACCCCACAGAAAACCTTCTAAGTAAACACCCCTTATTCAGCCCTCTAAACCCTTCCTACGGGTCCAAGTACTCCTTATTATAGGACTTTGGGGCCTTTTGGTGAAAACCATAAATAAGAACTACTTGGACCCTGAGGGCCCTATATGGGAGTTTCCGAAAATAGGGGACCCTAATGTAGTACCCTAAATCATAGGATCCTCATTATAAGGACCCCAAAACAAGGTACCCCCCAATTTTCGGAAACTCCCTACAATAATCCCCCATTATAGAGCCCTTATAGATCCCTTTAAGGACCCCTTTTGATGGAAGCCTAAGGTACCCCCCCAATTTTCGGAAACTCCCATATCATCTCACAGCAGAACGACGAGGCTCCCGGCGAGAGGAGGATTGAACCCTCGAAGCCCGCGTCCACGCCGGAACATGCCCTCGGAGTTACCATTCCCTGGGGTACCCTTAAAGGAACCCCTATAGCTCCCTTTAGAGGAGCCCGTATGGATCCCTTTAAAGGTACCCCTAAGTCCCCCTAACCCTGAGGGTCCATGTACCTAAATGGTATATACATTGGGCTTAAAGTACTCCCTATATGGGTACATTGGGCCCAAAGTATATACTATTTGGGTACATGGACTCTTAGGGATTATCATTATTCGTAGTATCAATATTGCTGCTATTGCGATTATAAGAGGTCTCAATAGCATGGCTTTACTTCTGTTTAAGCAGGTTTCGGGGTGTAGCCTACTGAACTTGCAACAAGCAGCCCCAAGGAATACTCGCACTGGCCATTCAGGCTTCCACAGGGCTCCAGTTGACGAAGTACCGGATTGCTGTCGTTCTACTTTATGTTTAGTAGCCTACTACAAATAGGTACGTAACTGGAGCCCTAAGCCCTTGACTTCCACATTAGTCTTGAGGGTTCACGGTTGCTTGGATGGGCTGGGGTCACGGCTTTAGGGGTTAAGGATGTCTTAGGGGGGGCTGAATGCCTCGAATACGGGTTTAAGGGGATTTTGGATAGAGTTCTGGGGTTTAGGGTCTTAGGGGTTTTGCGCGTTTGGGGTTTAAGGACTTCGGTTTATTTTAGGCTGCACGGGGGGATACTGTTACTTTTGATTCAGACACCTACGACAAGCGCGAAAACCTAAACGGTGGCTAAGGACTGCCGTAAGCAGGCTTCGTCGGCCGAGCGCTCGACGACGGACTGTACAGTGTCCCTAAGCACAACCTCGGCTTCAACGGAACAGCGGTAAATCCAGCCGGGGAGCGACGCCGCAAGATGGCAGCCCCCCCCCTCCCCGCCCTGTTGCACGCATCTCAACTCCAACCCTGGGACTAAAGTTGCAAGCGGCCAACCAAAAAATCGTGACTAACAGTATGAACTCTTGCAGACTGGTCCCTGCAACCAAAACACCAACATAGAAATATGACCAGTAAATATTGCAGATTGCCAACCCAAGAATCCAACAAAAAACAAGAATACAATAGGGCCCGTAATGTAACTATTGCAGTTTGCGTTTGCGAGCAACAGTCAAATTCGAACAAGTGGGCTGTACCCTGGAATAATGGGGCGATGCTACAATGGTATTTGAGCTCGTCAACACCTTGGACGTATGTAAGGGTCGTGCCTTGGACTCATCGCGCGCTGCTGCTGCCGCAGCTGGCTAGCAATGCCAAGCGGCCGAACTGCGCGCATATGCTGCTCCTGGATCGCCACAAGCGACCAACGGCCTTGCAGGTCTGCGGATGCAGCAGAGTCCTGCAAGCTCCTTTCGCGGGCCGCTATCAGCAGCAGGAGCATGTCCGAGTGACCGTCATAAAGGCCGAAGCTCACCGTGTTCCGCCTCCGTAGAGCGCGGCATTTTCCAACTCCGGTTGAGGCGCTTGGCATTCGGGGCCTGGTGGACCCCATGGCTGGGCTTGAACTCGTTCTGCAGCAAGCTCGAGGGAGATACGATGCTCGCAGTAAGTGGGGGAGTGTCTTCTCACCCCGAAAATTATACCCTAAAAAGGTAGGAGCCTGATAAGGCTATAAGTACGGTTGTAAATAAGATAATCCTATCTAGGACGCTTATAAAGCAAATTATAACCCAGCTTACCGAGTCCCAGGAACCCTTAAGTAGACTTCGTCCCTACCCCAACCCTGCACAGCCCCAAGCCGGGAGCCTAAGCCGTAGACACCCGAAAACCTCAACTGCAGCTACAGAAGTAGATAAACATCCTTTGCAAATCCGAAAACCGTGAACCCCCAAACCCATCAAACACACCCTCTATGCATATATACATATACACACTCATACACACATACCTATTATCAGAAACTCTAGACCACAAAACCATCAATGAAGAACCTAAGTACACCTCGAACTAGTCAATCTCAGAAAACGGATCCAATAAACTCTTTACAAGGAGGGCCTCCTACTGGCCGCAACATGGGGAAAACAACATGCCCGAGGGGCTGACCTAGTTGCAGAATCTAGAAAGTTGGAACGTCACTATCCTCGTGCCCTTAAAGTACAGTATAGGGAAACTCCTCAATCTATGTTCCAACTTTCTGGGGTTCACTCCGAAAACAGGGGACCCGAACAGTAGTACCCTTAATACTAGGATCCTTATTGTAAGGACCCCCAAGAAGGTACGCCTAATTTTCGGAAACTCCTGTAAGGCGTCTGAGGAGAGCACGAAGCTTCTGTGTCTCCCGTCTTCAGCTCTGCCTGGGCTCCGGGTTGGCCAACCAAAGCTTCGAACTCGGGTTTGGGTTTCGGGTTTAGGGTTTAGGGTTTCGGGTTTTAAGGTCTAGGGTTGGTAGCGCGTTATATAGGTTTGTATATGTTGTATATGTATATACGTATATACATACGTACAGTGCTTTTAAGAGATCTGACCTATACGGCTTCTAAAACATGTAGGTCTTACTTGGTGGTGGTTAGAACAGGGCGTTAGGGAACATTACAGTATAGTTACACAGGGACAACAAAGGCATATCAATCAGGGTCAAAGTACCCAGCAGCTGTAGACTCTCCCCAAGACTGTCACCTACAAAACTACTTACCGTAAGCCACCAAGTTCCGAATTATCGCATGCTCTGCCAAACACTAACCTACACGAGCACTGTTGCAGAAAATGCTTGAGATTCCTAGCATAAACCGCCGAATTCCCGAGTCTACACGTTCTCACACTTGCGGCTGAGGGACTTCAGGGTTTAGGGTTTAGGCAGGGGTGGTTAACGTGTAGGCTCAGCGTTTATAGGGTTCCGGGACTCTAAGCAAGAATTGAATCGAACGGTTTTGGAGATGCTGCTGCAGTGTCTTGAGTCATTGTCATTACGGGCTACGGTTCAGGGTTTGGGGTTTTCAGACACAATGCAGAGCAAGGAAAACCCCGCATCCTACACCATAGGGCCAGCATGACAACACGGGCTGAGATCTGCACCGTGGGGTACACAATGCCCTGGCTGGAGCCAACTGTGACCTGGGAACGGCTGCAAGATGGGAATCTGGACTTTGAAGTAACCAGGGAGAAAAAAGCATAGACTCTTGTTTCATAATAGTTCCTTTGAGGAATAGGTACCCAAAAAAAGTATTCAAGTATGGTACTCAAAACCCAGGGAATTTGTTTCAGCACGGGGGTGAACCCTAAACATGGCACCAACACTGTGAAACATGAAACCTAACTCGGAGAACTCAACCTGGAGCCATCGCAGAGACCACCGTTTGAGAGTGACCCAAGCTTAAGCCATGATAGCCTGCGTGGGAATTTTTTCCGTAAACACATACGGGAGTTTCCGAAAATCAGGGGTACCTTATTTGGGGGTCCTTATGAAAAGGTCCTACTGTTCAGGGTACTATGTTGGGGTCCCCTATTCTCGGGAACTCCCATAACATTAATAGGTGCATGGTACCTAGCGGATTCTGCGCAAGGTATTCGCAGCAACACTCTTGCTTGTGACCCGGCAGTACGCTCAAGCAGTTAAAGCCCAAATACCCTCAACCCTACACCCTATAGTAGTTCCTTTTTGGGATTACCTGATAGGGTTCTATATATAAACCTCCAAAAGGAACTATTTTTGGGCCGCCTTTGGGTAAACCCTAACCCTGAAGCCCTGAACCATCAAACCGCTCATCGTCCCAGCCCTAGGACATCCTCCACACCCTACCCAAAACCCTAGAGGCACCTAAACTCTAAACCTTCTAAACCCCCCAAAGATCTCTAAACCCTGCAGTTGCAAAAACAAACCTATAAGTCTTTAACCCTAAAATACCCCTAAACGGTAAACCCTAAAACCCCCAAAAGTCCTAAACCCTGACACCCGTAAACGGTAAACCCTAAAGCCCCTATAAGTCCTAAACCCAAATACCCCTAAACGATAAACCCTGAAACCCCTAAAAGTGCAAAACCCCAAAACCCCTAAAGTCTTGAACCCAAACATACCCCTAACCGGTAAACCCTAAAACCTATAAATGTCTTAAACTCTGAAATGCCCATAAACTTTAAACCTTAAAAGCACCTACATCCTGAAATTCTAAACACCCCTCAGCCCTATCTAAATCCTAAAACTTGTCACGCCTCAAACCCCCAAAATTGAGTTTGAAGCCCCTAAACACTGGTAGTTTTTGTGGCACAAGCCCTGGGGAAACTTGTGGAATGTCATCTCTTGCAACGGTAAACTCTAAACCCCCTCATCCCAAGGCTCCCTTCGACCCGAGTCCGACGCCAAAATGCCGAAGTTGGTCGGGCAGGAAGCCTTTGAGCTTTCTTCTGGGCTTCGGGCTTGGGTTTGAGTCTGTCTTTTCTAGGTTTTTTTTTCAGGATCTGGGGTTATACCATATATGTTACAATCTAGCCTTTGACCTTGATTCTCTCGAGCTTCGGGTTCCCTTTTGGGACAAGGGCTTTTGGGGTTTAAGGGTGTAGGGTCGAGAGGTTTAGGGCTTAGGGGTTTTGGGTCTCGGTGTAATGTTTGAGGCTTCGGGCTGAGGGTTTAGACTTGTTTTAGTGTTTTTCGGGTTCAGGGTTTACAGTGCATATAATGTAGGAACCTGATTAAGAAAGCCTGGGCCTATAACACCAAAACAGTAGGCTTCATATAAGAAGCCCCAATAGAGGCCCAAGGTCTCTTTTTCAGGTTCCTACATTAGGCTCCCGTTCAGGTGTTGTTTAAGGTGGTTTAATCTGGACTGTGAGCTTGATTCAAGGCTTAAAAGCCCGGGCCGAAAAGGAGGTTTCCTCGAGAGAGTTCCATAGAGTTCCAATGAGGGTCTCGTGAAATTCTGAGAGGGTGATGACTTGATGTACGAGCCTTCGCATTTGAGACCGTCTTCATTTTATGGGCCGGGGGGGGTGGACTACAGCATATGGCATAGGAATCCCAAGCAATTGCTTCGATATTGGTTCAGGAACATGTATTGGGTAGCAGGGCATCGGGTTTCTGGGTTTAGGTGTTGGGTTTTGGGCATCTGCTTCTGGGCCTTGTTTGGGTTGCCAGGGCTTCCGTTTTCGAAAGTCGGGCTTGGCGCCTTAGCTGTCATTGCAAAACGGAGGGTTTATGTCAATGTAGGCGCGGGGCTTCGGAGGATGTCCTTTGCGTATGAAGCAGAGAAAACGGTCATAAGTACCTAAATGGGAATCCCAACGATAATGATACTTCCTGCTATAGAAACCCTACCGCCCAAGAAGCCCTGCCTGAAGGATAGTTGGACTGCTTGATAAGCCAACAACTCCAATTATGCCCTACATATGGGAATTTCCGAAAATTGGGGACCCTAATATAGTGCCCTAAAATGGTAGGATCCTGATTATAAGGACCCCAAAATTAAATATGGCACCCCAAATTGTCGGAAACCCCCATCTGAGGTCCTCTGGGTCTGAAAGATGAAGAAGCTCCAATATCCCTTAATTAAGGAATATACCTTAAATCATAATATTAAGGATCCTACTATAATTTAAGGTCTATTCCTTAATTAAGGGATATTGGAGTCTCTGGGAAGCCCTGAATCTCCAGACTTAAGCCCAAGCCGATTGTAGGTCCCCAAGAAGAAGACAAGAGATTAGGAAGTGGTCTTAACCCAAAGGCCCCGAAGTAGTTCCTTTTTGAGGTGCATATGTAAAGTCCTATAATGTAATCCTAATAAGGAACCACTATGGGAATAACTAGAACTAGAAATCATACACCACGTCGACCCCATATAATGATGCGAAGGATATACCCCCAGGCCCAGTTCAATCCACGCTTAAAACTAGTAGTTATATACAGCTCCGAAAATCCTGATAATCATCCTGTATTGAACCCTACCGCCAGCCAAAAAATGATTACCTCCAAAACTGGCGCCTCCGCAGACACCTCGGCGGCGGCTGTAGTCTCGGCCACGGCGTTGATGTCGATGATCTGGATGGGGGTGTAACGCTTTTCTTACGCAAGTAACCAGGCTTAAACCGTATGAGAGCCTATCAGAGCCTTGTAGACCCGTTTGAAAAACCTTGAGCAATGCCAGAGAATCCTATGAATTCATAAAGCCCTACAGAAACTCAGCCTGAAGAAATCAACAAGCCCTGTAGACACTCCGAAAGTCCGATCTAATGAGCCCTTCAAAGAATCTCTCAACAACCCGTACGGAAGAAACCCGCTGGCCTGCACCGCCGCGGTCTCCTCCGCACTCGGAACTTGCTCGTTGTTGGCCTTCGAGATAGTAATTCGGCATCAGGGTTTATGTGGGTTCCCCAAATCCTATGTAAAATGTGTTTTAGAGGAATCTGTTCATGCTTCTATAATAGGCAGACGGGGTACAAGTGTTACTGGAGGGCTCTTACAGAGTGCATCGGAGTTTACAGGGTCGAGCAGTACTGTAAGTGTAAGTTACTAGCTTGCTTGGAGCCTGTGGGAAACAACTGTCGCGCTTGGATTCGAACCCTGCGCCCCTACACCCTCAACCCCTAGACCCTAAACACTGAACCCTAAAACGGGCGCAGGGGTTTAGGAGCTTTCGGGTCGTCCGGAGTTTAGATGCTTTTAAGATATGGGTGGTTGTCAAAATTAGGGTCCCTTTTTGGGTCCTTATTATAGTACGGCACCTATCATTCAGGGTACCCATATGGGAGTTTCCGAAAATGAGGGCTACCTTAAGGTTTCCTTTCAACGGGGAGCCTTAGAGGGATCTATAGGGGTTCGAAAATGGGGATTATTGGGGAGTTTCCGAAGATGATACTTTGGGGTCTTTTTGATAAGGATCTTACTATTTAGGGTACTTTTTTGGGGGTCCCCTATATTCGGAAACTCGAAAATGGTGCAGGGCTTCAGGGCTGACGGACATGACAAAGCAGGCCTTTAGGTTTTGCTACTGGTATACAGCATACCCCAGTAGCCTAAACCCCAAATCCTAAACCTCTAAATCCTAAACCTCTAAAACCCAAAACCCTAAACCCTGAATCCTAAACCCTAAACCGCAAAACCCTAAACCCTGTACCCAAAACCTTCTTAAACCCAAAACCGCAAAACCTTAAACCCCAAACCCCCAAACCCTCTTAAACCCTAAACCGCAAAACCTTCAACCCCAAACCCCCAAACCCTCTTAAACCCTAAACCGCAAAACCTTCAACCCCAAACCCCAAAACCCTCTTACCCTAAACCGCAAAACCTTCAACCCCAAACCCCAAAACCCTCTTACCCTAAACCGCAAAACCTTCAACCCCAAACCCCAAAACCCTCTTACCCTAAACCGCAAAACCTTCAACCCCAAACCCCAAAACCTTCTTACCCTAAACCGCAAAACCTTCAACCCCAAACCCCAAAACCCTCTTACCCTAAACCCAAAACCCTCTTCTAGCTAAGGAGGCCGCTGCGCTTCGGGGGTTCCCAGAGAGTGGGCGGCCTCGTCTGGCTCTGCAGGCGTCTGTACCTCTTCGATAGTCACCTGCTTGGAGGGGCAGGGGACTTAGTAAGGGTTCTTAAAGGGCTCCTTAAAGGGATCTATAGGGTTCCTTAAAGGGATCTATGGGGTTTAGGGTTTAGGGTCTGCTTGGAGGGGCAGGGAACTTAGTAAGTAGGTTCTAAGTAGGGTTATCATTGGGGCAACTCCATTTAAAGTACTTACAACAAAACTTATAACCTACTTACTAAGTCTCCAAGTGCAGGAACAGGGTGTATCTGCATGACCTTAAAGGAACCCTGAGGAACAGAATTCCCACCCCTCGTAACCCCTTATAGGCCCCAGCATTATAAGAGTGAAGAGTTTACCCCAACCATATACCCCAAGCCCTAAAGCCTAAGGCCAAGGCCTAAACCCCAAGCCCAAAGACGCCAGACCCTATAAGCCCTAAACCCTAAAGAGCCGCGTTTTGAGCTTTTTCTCTCCATGGCCTCGCCGCCAGCGGCAGAAGCCAGATCGGTCCCTCCGAGCGACTGGAGATTCGTCGAGACCTGCGCGAAACCCCGAGCTCCTTCAAGGTTTAGGGGGTTTAGGGTTTAGGGTTTAGGGTTTAGGGTTTAGGGTTTATAGGTTTAGGGTTTATAGGTTTAGGGTTTAGGGTTTAGGGTTTAGGGCTTAACCCTGAATAACCCACGTTTTTCGGGGTTCCGTATTATGAAAAAACATACGTCCTCAAAAAGGTGGTTAGGGAAGTGCTTGAGGGCTCCTTTAAGGGTTCAGCAGGTACCTTTGAAGGCTTGCTGTTAGGGTTCCTTTAAATGGCTCTAGAAAGGGCGCTTAAGGGCTCCAGGGATTTGGGTGTCAGGATATGGCTTTCCGGGATTGGGCTTTTAGACTTAAGACGTTGGGGGTTTAAGGCTTTAGGGCCTAGGGTTTAGGGTTTAGGGTTTAGGGTTTACTTTAGGGCTTTAGAGTTTCAGGGTTTCGGGTTTGGGGCCTACTGGACAAAAAGCACCCACCCACCATGGTTTTAGGAGGGTTTCAAGTTTGACAGGGGTGTGACAAAGGCCGTATATCAGAGACGGAGAAACCAAGAGCCACTACATAATTGAGGAACAAACCTTAAACCACATCAAGGATCCTTCTTCGGTCATAGGTTGGGTACGGCCCCCACTCAGTAATAGTTGAAGAATGTTCATAATATAGACATATTAGAACCTTAGTAGTAGCCCTATTATAGACTGTTACTGTAGGGGGGCAGTACCTGAGTCATAGGTCGAGTATTGGTCGAGATATCGGCCCGACAGGATGTATAGGGTCTGGTGACCGGGGTGTTGCGGAACAGGGCCCTACGGCTTTAGGGTTTGGGGATCTCCAGTTCTAGGTCTTCAGGACCCAGAACCGAAAGGGAAAACACTCAACCCCAAACCTCCAGCCTTATAAACCCCGAATTCCCCTCGGAGTTAGGGCTCTATGTTAGACAACACAGGAAACTTAAAATTGTCCCAAAATTACATCAACAAAAGAAAATCAGAACTGTCCCAAATCGACACCTAGAAACCCTTAACCCTTATGCCCAGACAAGCACCGGGATGCTCGCCTGGTTCAACTCCGAGGTCTGCGCATTCAGCGCCTCCGTTCCTGCACAGGACGCTTTGGTGTTTGGCGTTGCGAGGTTTAGGGTTTAAGGGTGTTCGGGCTTTAAGGGTTTATGGGATATGGCTTCCGGGTTAGGGTTTGGCGTTGTGGGTTTAACGGTTTAAGGGTGTTAAGGATTTAAAGGTTTGTGGGTTATGGCTTCCGGGTTAGTTTGTGTTTGGCGTTGCGAGGTTTAGGGTTCAAGGGTGTTTAGGCTTTAAGGGTTTATGGATTATGGCTTCCGGGTTAGTTTGTGTTTGGCGTTGGGGGGGGGTTAGGGTTTCAGGTTGCAAGAAAGATGCAGAAGCAGGGAGTAGGGCTTAAGGGGTGTTCGGGGCTTAAGCGTTTATGGGTTAACTGTGGGTTCCAGGGCTTCAGAGTTGGAGGGCTTATAAGAACTTCAGGCTTTATACTGATTAAGGATAAGGGTTCCAGGGTCCTGCTCTCTGCGCTCTGTTGGTTGGGATCCTTGCGTTAAGTTGCCCAGGAATCCATGAAAGCCTGGAGCCCTCGCGTCCTCAATAAAGCCTGGCCCTGATCCAAAAGTCGTGAAGCGAAGCCTAAAGACCAAGATGAAACCAACGCCGGGTGAAGAACACACAAAAACAAAAGCCGCTAGCTGCAACTGTCAGAGGCTCCGCACCTGTGGATCCGGCATTGCCACCTGAAGCAGCCGCAGCCTGAATCTCACAGGGATCCAGCGATTTGCAATCTATGTCAGATTCCCCTATAATCCCAGCTTAGCCCCCAAACGCCCACCCTTGTCAGAGAGCGATGAAAAAACTTCATTGGAGGGAAACCCCCCGAACCTATCTTTCTGCGGGTCCAGATATACCATGAGCCCTAAACCCCGAACCCCTAAACCACTGCAGAAACCCCGAACCCTAAACCCGTAAACGCTAAAGCCCCGGAACTTGATCCGCAGAGCGTCTTGCGGGCTATACCAGGTACAAAGCTGTTCGAACTTTATGGTAAAGACCAGCACGCTAGGCGTGTAGAGTTCAGGGCTTGCATGCTTGAAATGCTATAAATGTTTTACGCAACACAACTTTTTAAAGTTCCCCCTTTGAGGAGTAAGTTTGGGGGTTTGGGAGTTTCAGATCTTGGGGTTGGCCTATTTCCAGGAGCACAAGCCGAAAGTTTAGGTCCATTAGTCTAGAACCTACCCTGTTTGGGTTCCTTATTCTGACTTCCTTATATAAATCCTCAAAATGTTGGGATTTTGAGGTCTAGAACTTTATGGCTGCCACGAACAGCTCTCTTGCTTCCCTTCACCCTGCTGCTGGGGGAACTAAAAGAAGGACCCAATCACATTTCGTCTTTGGGGTTCGCAACAACCGTGCCAAGACCCGACCCTGTCCTTGGGATCGTTATCTTGGCCTCTGATAGAATATGTTAGCTGTCGTTTTCTGGGTCTTGCATACATGCATCTACACATACATAACACACATATATATATATATACACATATATATATACATAGATAGATGATAGATAGATACATACGAGATCTGGATATACCCTCTTTAACACAAAGGCGGAAGCCTCACTGTAAATGGACAAACGAAGGCATCGGGCTGGTGATGCATGTTAGAGACTGTTAGAGGATTCGTACGGTTCATTGACGTGCTTGGAAGGTGGGACCCTGGCAATGAAGGCATGTGTGCCAACGTGAAACGAAGGACATAAGTTGTCACCGCTTACTACTCGAGCCTGAGCCATATACCTGGGAATGATATTGAATCAATGACCTTAGTCACAGAAGAAACCATAACTGAGGCGAGCCGTTTTGACCGAGACTGAAGACAGTGGTATTCTCGATCAACATGCCATTCTACTACAGAAGGAGGCACAGCACCCGAAGCTACAGCACTCTACAGGACCCTTCGAAACCCTATGAACCCTCATGAACTTTGCTACAAAACCTAGAATTCCCTGAACCCTCGAACCCGAAACCCCCAAACCCAACCCCTACACCCTAAACCCCTAAACCAAAACCTCTGTGAGACATCGCGCCGGGGATCCCTGCAGCATCTGGCGAGGGCTCGATCGACACGTCCAGTGCCGTGGCAGAAACCACGGCCAGGCGACGGCCTTCCAAGCGCTTACAAAATTCGGTCTGGTGTTTTAGGGTTTAGGGTTTAGGATTTCGGGCTTTAGGGTTAAAGGTTTCTGGTAGTAAACAGTTATTATGCAACACAGGAATCCAATATTCAGGTGCCTCGAGCCTTGAGGCTTGAAAAACAACGAAGACTTGGGACGATTAGGCTTGCGCTTTATTATTGCTACCCTTGGGGTATAAGGAATCAAGTTCGAAGGCTTTGGAGCGCAACTTTGGTCGGGGTCCATCTCTGAGGCCTCGATAATGAGGCTGAAAAAGCTCGAAGCACCATAAGGAGCGATAGATCGATGAGATGAGACTAGGTTAGATTAGATTGGTTTTGGTTTGGTCAGGTTCGGTTGGCCTGGATTAAATGAGCTTTTGATGCGAAGAGATGAGCGGAGAGTTGCATGACTAGACTGGATTGACTAGATAACCAAATAGCGAGACGGATGGAGAGATAGAGAGCCTGAAGTCAAGCGGGTGGGGCTGTACCTCCTCAGACTTCTCGGCGCCAACCCGAACCGTAAATCTGTGAAACCCACCGGAGGATTCAACACAACTATCTTGAGGCTTTGTTCTTTGCTCTTTGCTGTTTAGGGTTTAGGGTTTAGGGATTTAGGGTTTGGGGGCGGTTGGGGTCAGGGATAAATGCGACCCTGGAAAGCTTTGGGAACCCCTCTTGGGCCTCCTGACAAGGCCCACGAAGACCCTTGAAAAGCCTCGTCGAAAGCCCCCTGAACACTGATGAAAGCCTCTTAAACACGGTACAATCCCAGCAACCCCTGTCAAGATCCTATAAAACGCAACAAACCCCTACAAACAACTATGAACCCACAGAAACCTACTTGTCGGGTATCATGGGGAACTAAAGGTTAACCTTTTTTGGTTATATAGGGGTTATATAGGGACTATACTAGCCAAAAACAGGTTGAAGGTTACCTACTCTAGTACTAGGGAAAAGCAAGTAGAAGCAGTCGGAGCCTGGCGTTTTGCAGCCACCTGGGGCACACATCCTCGGTGAGTAGCCGAACCCGAACACGAGCTCCATGGACTTGTGCTGTGTCTGTTTTAAAACTTTGATAGTGGGTTTGTAGGCCCTGTAAATGAAGGTGTAGGCTTTAACGCTTGGGGGTTCAGAGTTTAGGGCATGGCTTCCGTCGACTCCTAGTTCCCACTTTCACGTACGCCTGACTACTCGCTCCTTGGACCCTAAACCCTACCTTAACGTACGAGAGCCTACTTTTTTGTAGGGTCCCTATAAATTCCATATTAGAGTTTAGGTTTGGTAGGTTTAAGGTAAACCCTTACCTCCTGAGCCTCCCGACTCGTCGGAATCCTCCGACGGATCGAAGTCCGCCTGCGGGCTTTTGCTTTTGCCGCACTCGCAGTCTGAAGAGCGAGTTACCTTTGTTCTAAGCTCTCTTGAGTGTCTGGTAGGAGTGGGTTTTTGTTGGGTGGGGGTGGGGGGGGTCTACAAGGAATCGTAAGGGGGGTCTAGAAAGCCTGCATACGATGCAGGTCTTTCTATCAGGAAGAGGGCATGGGGATTGTATCTTAGCTCATAAGTTTTTGAAGATTTGGAAGGCGATCTTTCTTGAGATGTTTTAACCATCTCCATATGACGGGTCCGACACCCGGACTAACTATCACTTCTCATCATGTCCTCGTGGTGAATTGTAAAGAACCCCAGACCCATCATCCTCTCTCCATGTTGCAACTGCTCGGAGCTTGATCATGGACGTTTTGTCGTGCTAAACCCCTAAACCCCAAAACCAGGTCTAGCATTTAAGAGTTGATGGTTCGCGCGCACGAGCTTTGGGTTGAGGTCAGAGGTTTAAGGGTTCATGTCGCATTGCGCGCTGCGGGGCCGACAGGGTGCACCCTAGCAAAAGCCACATGCTATCGAGTCTATTTGTGGATACACGTATGCATCAATATCTATAGAACTTCTATGTCTGTATCTATTCGCTAAATAGTATATGCAACTACGTGCGATTGCTCCCTTTGACAGATGCTTTGTTGCTGTCGGTTCATGCTCAACTGCCACAACTGCCGGATCATGTAAGGAGGGAATTGAAACGAGGCTCTGGTGTTCAACCACCGAATCGAACCAGATCAAACATTTATCAGAAGCCCAGCCAAGCCCCAAAACCTTTGTATCCGGAAGCTTGTGAAGAAAGACTCGGGCTTTTCCGCGTTTCTTGCAGTGAGCCTCCGTCGTGGCCACCAGCCCCAGCCGACGCCGGACCTGTACGGCAGCCACCTGGGTACGAGGGCAGACAAGACGAGGTCTGATGTTCAGGATTCAAGATTTCTGGCTTGTAAAGGCTGGGGCTTCAGGCTTACACTGTAGGGTGGAAGGCCGCCTCTTTCTCGATGTGCGATTTAGGTTTCAAGCTGCAGTGTGCTCCAGATTTAGGCTTCAGCTGTAGTGCAATAGGCAGTGTAGGCCTTGGCAAGCATCGAAAAAGCGCTATCCAGGTGGATGTTGCCGCTGACGAGGGAGCTCCGGTCTTCGGCGTGAAGGGCTTGGGCACCCAAGTTGGAGGTATCGGCGCGTCCAGGCCGGGATCATCGCCGCCATCTTGGGCCATCTCGGAGCAGCTCCAGTCTGTAGCGCAGTCGGTCTCTTATGACCCGATAGATACCCTCGTCGTCTCTCAGAGTGGTGACCTCCTTCCCCAAGAGAGCGGGCTGTCATGGGGCCTGGGTTTTGCATTTTATGTTTTTGGGCGTCTTTGGCGGTTTAGCATTATACGAAGCACCTATGCATGTGCATGTATGTACGTACGTATGTATATATATATATATATATATATATATATATATATATGTATTTATACATGTGTGTGTGGTTGCAATTGCTTGTAAAAGGCCATGAGGGCCTATGAACATATAAAATGCATACACTCGAATACACGTGCACATGTATATATTCCACAGCTAAACTTACATGAGCACATGCACTGTTTATGTGCTTGCATGGTCATGGTACGAATAATAATCGCTAATTATGGCACCCTGTACGCAGTGGACACCCGGCCACGTCCGAGCGAAACGAAAGAAGACAAAGTATTTCACGCACCGTGCATCTGTTTCCACAACCTGGACTCTCGAAAATCTTTGGAGCCGTGTCGCCCGCCGTGTTCTGATTTCCTTGTGTGTTGAGTTGGCACATGTCCGTGAGTTTCCACTTTCTTCCCAGTTTGAAGATTGCAGTATTACCTACCTATGCGGGGCTTCACAACAGTATACAACAATGCTGACAATCGCGAGAATTTACTGCTGCAAACTGGGAGCATGTACATACATAGTATGTTTTATGCAGTGCTACAACACACATTGTGTCAGGGGTGCACACTGCCTGTATGTACACAAATCAGTGAGTAGTGTGTTTTAGATTTAGTTTCTATTGTAACGCAGTGCTACGTATTTGGAGCCTAGGGCCTTCCAGTTTCACAGCAATACATAGCTTTCTGTTCGGTTCATGTGATTTAGGTTGCGATGACCCTTGAACAGTTGTTTTCCCAGTTGCCACCCCACCACTTTCACATTAACACGGTCCTCAACTCGCATACACTCTGCATCATGGTTTTCCCAGTCGAAGATGCGTTTTTGTCGAGATCCACAATTTTTCAAAATATGGATGTATCACCACGTTCGTCGAAATCAACAGCACAAGGCAAGCGAATAGCGGAAATCAGCGAAACACAACAGCACACACAGTGTATATCGTCATATCCAGGAAGCAAAGGCTCGGAAGCCTTGCATTATGACATACATACAATACATCAGTGTCACATAAGTCACATAAGCTGATCTCGAAGTAAAGAACGCAATTTCCCAAAAAAACTGCTGTAGTGCTGGCAGTAGCAATGTCGGATATTGCCAGAATTTAGCTTCTATTGAAGAGTGAAACTATGATGGAATGTCAAAATAAGGCTTTGAGGGTTCTTTCTGGTCCCTAAACCCTAAACCCTAAACCGCCTTCCATCCTTACGACTGTCCTTGATGTGTACATCGCGACGGTCTGTGTACAGCCGAGACCCTGTGAACCGTAAGAAGATACAGCACTTCTGTAAGCAGCTCACGTGCCCTGAACAAACCATTTGTTCATAGACAGGGAAGGGTGATGCTATACAACTTGTTCACAAAGCATAAACTCATACACTTCAGACGCAAAAAGACATTGTAATTACCAGCGTTTTCACAACATCGGCGAACGAAGTTGTGTTGTATGCGAGAAATACAGCAACTCGACGTGTTCTTCCAAGGAGGATAGACAAAGTGGTAAAGTTTGTGGAAATGGTGCCAGCGCGCGCTTGGTTTTTGGTGTGTGGTGCATGGTGAGTGGGATTGGGGTTGGGGGTGGGGACGGGACAGCAGTAGAGAGAGGGGAGGGGGGGGGGGGGGGAGCAGGTCTCAACATGTCAGCCCCAAACCCTCAGCCCCCCCCCCTCCCCCCCCCCCTCTTTCATCTTAGTTTGTAAACGCCAGTCCTGGTTATAAACACAAGCCATGCTTATAAACACAGACACTGTTTATAAACACAGGCCCTGCTTATAAACAACAACATTATTGATAAGCGACATAAATGTCTACAAGTACGAACAATACAGTACATAACCCAGAACTGTTTATACAAGCATAGGATAGCAAGATGATGTGAAACAAATCGCTGCGAAACCGCGAAACGTGATGTGTCCCAAACGCAGGCCCCATGGTAGCCCTTTCTGTTCCCCAAAGGGTCCAAGTAGTAGTAGTAGTAGTAGTAGTAGTAGTAGTAGTAGTAGTAGTAGTAGTAGTAGTAGTAGTAGTAGTAGTAGTAGTAGTAGTAGTAGTAGTAGTAGTAGTAGTAGTAGTAGTAGTAGTAGTAGTAGTAGTAGTAGTAGTAGTGTATACCTTGGGGTCCCATATACCTACTAAGTACCTACGACCATAGTACTTGGACCCTTTGGGTTCTGAAGCGAGGATATCTTCGACTTCGACTGCGCGAACTCTCTGGGACTTTCAATTGGGACTTTCTCACCCAGCGACTGAACCTCCCAGGCCCCGACAACCCCCCCGATCACTGAGAACCTCAAGGAGTCCCTGACTCAGCTTTCTTACTCAAGCCTACGTGGAGGTTCAGCGGTAGTTACAAGTGGGGTTATAAGTCCCCTTATTTGGGTTATTAGTTTGGTTACCCTACTTATCACCCTACTTATAAATACCCATGAACCTCCAAGTAGCACCCACATAGGCACAGCCTCCTCCCAACCGAAACGCCAAGCCCACACCCTAACATCCGCAACACCTCAACGCAGCTCAACAACTCCTATAACGGCGTAAACCAACATCTCTTCCAAACCCCTCAAACACCCCCCCTCTATGCCCTATAAAACCCTATAAGCCCTCAAGCCCACAAGCCCCTCTTCATCCGCCTTTGGCGCTTGAGTGTTCCGAGGGTCCGGGCCACGATGCGCTCCGGTGGGATTCCCAGCAGAATCGCCAGGTTCGTCTGGAACTGCTCGGCGTTGAACTCCTCGATGCTGATCCTGGCTGGAAGGCACATGAAGGGTTTCTATAGGACTTTAGGGTTCTACCTATAGTCTCCGTTGTAGTTCCTTTTCTTGGTTGACCAACTTTATGGTTAGGATCCTACAAAATAGAATTTGGTTATGGGTAGGGTGTAGGGGTTAGGGTTCAGGGCTTCCAACGCTTAGGGAGTATACGGCCTAGTCTTGGCGACCTGAGGCTCCACTTGCACAATCCGACCCTCTATATCCCTAAGGCTCTACAGATTCCTATTTTAAGGCTTTCGGGCAAAAAGACCATAATCTATAAGGGTTTTGGCCCATTTTGAGCCTTAGGGTATAGTCTGTTAATGAAGCCCGAAAGCCCGAATACTGGAAGGCTCGCGGTATTGTGGATTGAAGGCAAAACAAAGGCTCAAAGTGGCCGCTAGGAGTGAATTAGTAGTGTGTTTGCGTGTGTGTGGGGCTCTCCTGTTGCAAGAGGCTTGTGATTTCGGTGTGTTTTCTCCGACCATCGTGAGTCAGCAGCGCCGCTTCTGCCTCCATAGACGCTGCAGTCTCCGCTAACCAAACAATATGTGTATATGTATGTATGTATGTGATCTAATATATATATATATATATATATATAGATATAGAAAATTAATATAACCCAGTAACCCAACATTCAGGGAGCTGGAGCCCCAGGGAAAGTGGTAGAAGCTGGCAAGCTCGGCTGTTTAGGGTTTAGGGGGTTAGGGTGTCGGGTAGAGTTCAACGGTTTGTGGAAGTCTTCCCCCATGCGGATACGCACAACCCTGTCAAAGGTCCCAAGTACCCAAGAACCCGCCAAACTTCTTAAACCCTCAACCCTCGACCCGATAGACCCTAACCTACAATGCTCCAAATGGTTCATGTGATCTAAAGCCCTACGAGTTAGATGGAACATGGGGGCTTGTCGTTAGAAGCTTGTAACACCTTTTGAAGCCTTCTGAACCCAGAAACCCTTATACAAACCCCGTAAAGGCCCTATGAAACCCTATGAAACTCAACGAGAACCCTTTACAACCCTCTTTCACTGAACACTTTACCTTAGGACCCTGTTCCCAAAAGCAGAGAGCCCAGCTCAATGTTCATCTTCAGCTTTACCGTCGGCGTGCGGCGGACGACCAGGTCACGCTGGGCCTAGGGCTCATGGCTTAAACGCATCATGGGCTGAAGGGCTTAAGTTCAGAATTTAGGGGTTTAGGGGTTTAGGGTTGAGGGGTTTACCCAAAGGCTCCATAGTAGTTCCTTTTTGGGTTTCATATATAGAATCCCATAAGGTAATCCCAAAAAGGAACTACTATGGAGCCTCTGGGTAGGGTTTAGGGGTGCAGCTTGAGCCGCGGTGCAAGTCTTTCTCTGAGGCCCTAAGGGCTCATACTACCGGGGCCCCAGGGGCCCAAAGACCATGCTTTGCGAGGCTTCTGGGGCTACTTTTGAATCTAGAGGTATTGTTTTTTCTTGGAAACATGTTTTGGGGTTTAGATTTGTTCTTCGGGGATCGCGCTTGGGGTTCAGGACTCCGGGGTGTCATCAGTTCTGAAGGAGGTGTATATGTGTAGCCTTCGGGGGAGCACTTTGGGTAAGCGAGGACTAGGCTTTGTGTTGTAGGGGAATGGGTAATTACCATAAGTTCCACACATATGTTTGGATTTCGTGCAGGGTTCTGTAGTATTCGTATGAAGTTTAAGCTTGGGGGTTGCGCCCAACCCGTCTATCAGGGGACCGAACAGAATGGCCATCCTGATTACTACGTGGCCTATGTCTAACCCGTTGCCTGAATTTTCCTTTTCTTCAGCCTTATGAAATCAAGGTGTATCCTGCTCAGCAAATCACCCATGAATAATTCCAATATGCGTCATCCAACAGGACTGATCTAAAAGGACTGATAGGGTTCTGATAGGGTTCCTTTATTTAACGGCTTGTTAGAGTTTCGATAGAGGGGCATGCACACACAGGACAGGGACGGATGCTCTACTAAATTATGATCATGAGGGTCACTGTTAGCATTCATTCGGACAGCTTTTTTTGAGCTCTGTGGCCCCATAGACAACCCAAAATCCCTAACCTCCAAACCTGAAGCCCTTAGCAAATCCAAAACCCAAAGGTGTATGTTGCAACCCTGAGACCCAAATCTCATAAACCCAAATAGGTGGTGGTCAAAACTAGGGTCCCTCTTTGGGTCCTTATTATAGTACGGCACCTATAATATTTAGGGTACCAAAAAGGGACCCTAATTTTGACAACCACCCGAATACTGCTCAAAAGCCAGTCCATAGCCCAGTTTGTTTGTACCTGGGCTCCAAGTGAGAAGTTGAAAACCCCACAGCACTTACGCTGCCTCCAAGCCACCAGATCCCCAAAAGCCAATACTGCTATGCTTCGCGCCCCTCTCATGGAAGAGCAGATCAATGAATAAACCCTCGACCTTCAGCCCTAAACTCAACTCCAAAACCCCTCCTGAGCTCCGGAAGTGATCCCCGACATGCCCCCCTTGCTCAGCAGGCTGCATTAAAGCCTTCCTGTGATCCACGCAAGGTGATGTACAAGCCTCGGCTGGGTTCGCGCTCCGAAACAAAGCTGTTCAAGAACACACTAGAGTTCCCCACACCGTAACTTCGGGTGGCGCATAGACAAAAATTAGTTCCGCAAAGCTTATCTTACCTAAATAGTGCTCCTCTTTCCAGTAGTGTAACGCAGTTGGGTTTGGAACTCCTCATTTGTCCCGGGCGTCAGTACGAGTAACCGAATCGACATGCCAGAACCTTTGCCGGCCGTCGGAATTTCAGGGTGGCAATGCTACTATTCGGATATAGAGCTGAGGAGGTTGAGCGGGAGTCTGCGTGCGTTTCCAGGGTTTTCGGGGGGGAGTTAGCCCATTGAAAGTAAACCCCATGGCCCATGCACTTAAGCCTATGTCCAAAATGTCCTAGTGTGCAGGGTTTAAACTGCAGCACAATAGATTTTGAAGAACCCCAAGGGAGGTGACGACTACACCTTCCCTTAAGGACCAAATGACCCTTAAAAGTAGGGGCCCTATACCCGCATACTATGAATCCCTATATGGTATATGAACCTTAAACCCTTTTAGGGTTCTTTTCGTCCTTAAGGTGAGATACTATGAAGGTCCAGAGTGAGGACTCCACCTTCCGCTTCGAAGCTTGCAGTTGCAAGCAATCCAGCACGATAATAACCGCACCAAGGGCCAAGGGCATCTCTTGGTAATGCTTTGCATGGCATTCAGAAGGCTTTCTAAGGTCATACAGGGGATCAACAGTCAATCAGCTAGTGATAGAAACAACACAAGAACGAGAACGGTCCTCAGAATGGCTAGGGTAAAAGGACCACGAAGATGTTGGCAACGCCAGGAAAGAAAAGCTAAACGAATACATCGACACGGCACCGGCTGCCAGCAGCAGCGACACCACAACCACCACCATCACCACCACCTCATCCATGACAACCAGGAATACCCACCGCAGGTATCACCACTGACTAAACCGACAACAATGGCTACCATCAGCACCACCGCCAGCAGCAGCGGCACCACCACCTGAACAACCACCGGCACCACCACCGGCGACACGACGACACACAGACACAAACACAGACACAGACACAGACACACACACCAGGACAAGCAAAAGACTAGTACAAACCCAACTGAGGATGTCAGCGGGTAACCTGCTGAGGATTCTGAGCTTGCTGCGAAGTGCTTGAGCATCCACGACGTGCGCGCCGTGCCTGGCAATGCATTAATCATTAATCACGAGGTCTCCATGAGCATCGCCCGACACGCCGTGCCAGAAAGAAGATCCAGCCTAGATTAAAGGAGTCTTCACATCCCATCATGAAACTACATCTTTGGTCTGCAACTCTTGTGATTTTATCAACCAAACCCGAGTCCCTAAGCCCTAATTCCTTAACCTTGGTCCCCAGGCCTAGCCAACCTTGAATAGACCCAAACCTTGAAGAAGAACTGGGCTTACCTGTCCACGAACCTTGGACTCTAGAATTCCAGAATCTCAAAAGCCAGGCAGTGGGATTGTGATTACACGCACCTTTAAAGCCAGAACGCCCAATGTACGAACCCTGCATTCAGTTCCGATGCTGTCATTGTTCGTATGTATATATTTCTATATATATATATATAAATAAATAAATAAATATATATATATATATATATATGTATATTGCTCTCTTGCAATGTTAAGATATCATTATGCTGTCTGCCATTTCATGGCCCGACATGGCATGTTCTGCTATTTAATCTCCACATGAAACTCACCCATCCGAAACGCAGCCCAGGCGGCTCGTCGGCCAGGGTTGGCTTTCGCCCCTCGCGGGTTTAGGGGCTTAGGGTTTTTTGTTTTGAGGGCTTCGGGGTTTAGGGCTTAGGGTTTTAGGGTTTAAGGGTTCGGGTTTAGGGGTGTAGGGGTTTAGGGCTTAGGTTTTAGGGTTTTCGGGTCAAAGGCCTTAGGGTCTAAGGCTTAGGGTTTCGGGTTTAGGGTTAGGGATTAGGGCTCAGCATTTGGGATTCAATAATGTCCATAGGGGGTCCCGTGAGAGGAGATTTGGTGCATTCTATACGGGGTTTGCATGATGCTGCTACTGGGGTTTGGTTTTTACTGATCTATGGACATCAGTGAGCAGAATAGGGTTTAGGGGGGTCAGTTGTACATAAAGTTAATTAGTAGGAATGATGCAGGGATACTTTTCGTAGCACTGAAGACCTGTGCTGAAAATGTCCCGCACCCAAGGCTCTTTATAATCTTTGGGAATTGGAGCTGCTCGTTTTGAAGATTCCATGTTAGTTGCAGGGCTCCATCGTCAGTCAGGGTTCACAGTGTAGGTTGCAGGGATGTAGAGTTCGAGGTTTAAAGCGCATCTGGTAGGATAGAAGATGTTCAAGATGAAGATTGCCTTCTCAACTACCCTAAACCCAATTCCCTCGAAAATTACAAAGTCGTGACACCCTACACCCCAGAAGCCATGTGCGCTCAGCTGTGAAAGTCTCGTAAAGGACAGTCCCTAAGGGTCCATGTACCCATATAGCATGTACTTTGGGCCCAATGTACCCATATAGGGAGTACTTTAAGGCCAACATATCTACTATATGAGTACATGGACCCTTAGGGAGTTGGGAAGTGCTGGATATTGCCCGCTCATGACCATCTCGGCTTCGCACCAACTTCAGAGCCATGTCCGGTTCTTTGGCACCTGAGCTTAGTAGAAAGTCTTTTTTTCAGTTTTTTTCTGGTGTTCTGTAAGGTGCCTTTAAGGGTTCTAAAATGGGGCTTCCTTGATGGCACTTAGGGTTCAGGCTCTTAGGGTTTATTAGAGTTCCTGTTTGGCATCTGAGCTTCAAAAATTTTGTTCTCTGAACAAGAGATAGATAGGGCTCCGCAGTTTAAGTTCGAGTGCTCCTGTGCGGATGTTCACCGGGCTCTAAGTAAAGAGGGTTTAGTTTAGGGTTTAGGGTTTGGGTTTAGCTCTTGTTTTTCTGTTGAGCTAATTTTTATGTCTGCCCAACCATCCAGCGTGTACGGTTTGGGGTTCAGGGATTAGGGTTTAGGGAGTCCGGCTTCCTCCACATGTGGATGTTTGTAGGATTGCATGGGAGTTTACAGTTACGTTGCGAGGCAAGGGATGCTGGAAGGGACCAGTCGGGTTGAACAGAAAGTGTTGAGATTAATGATGTAGACCCCTGATGGCATCAACAACACTTCCTTCGCTGAATGAGGTCTGAGATCGGGACAGGGTTCACATATGGGAGTTTCCGAAAATAGGGGGGACCCTGATCTAGTACCCTAAATAGTAGGATCCCTAATATAAGGACTCCAAAGTAAGGTACCCCTATTTTCGGAAACTCCCACATATTAAAATCCCCTTCCGTTCTTAGGAGTCAACGAGCTGTCAGGTGCATGGTTCAGGACTGGAGCCTGAAATGAGGAGCTGTGGATCTGGGTTGGTGCGGCGCGTCATGCAACGTCTGAGTCTTTGGTGAAGCTCTGACCAACATTTTCGGGATCCCGACGCGACAGAGCGACAATATTCTCGTGTTCATGTCTGCAGAACCCTACGTAATTCCTTAAACCGTTTTGAAATCCGTGGCCGAACCTTCAATGGCCAAACCCGATGGCAGAGCTGCTATGACTGAGGATTCGAAATACCTACCTTTGTAGGGTGTGTTTTCCCTAAATACTTCTTAAGAGGTACGTATGGTTTTGGGTTTTTCGGGTGAAGCTCAGGACCACGGGTAGTGTTTAAGGTTCAGAGCACCGAAGACTTCGAGATACTTGGAGGATCATGGGTACTCCTAAGTACATAGGGTTATAAGTAGGGTTACTATATACCTATCACCCATAAAAGGGGACTTATAACCCATGAACCTCCAAGTAGCAGTGACGTTGCTCACGATGATCTTTACGAAGGAAGCAAAACCTCTGTTAGCCTGGCGGTTCCCCTCCTCATGATTAGGATCTCGTACGTACCTGAACTCACGACAACCTACCTCTGGAAATGCAGTTCTTCTGAGACAAAAGTATGGTTTGGAGTGTAGGAAGCAGCGTTTTAGGGCCCCGGCCCTTTACGCTTTGAAATTCGAGTGCCTTCGTGTTGGTGCACACTAATCAGAGCCCCACTGACTCACCTACAAAACTCCTGGAGAGCCTAGCCCGCGTCTAGCCTTCAAACTGCATCCCCAAAAGCTGCCCACAGGAAACGCTACAACCTAAGGGTTCATGCCCATATAGCAACCCATATAGGGAGTACTTTAAGGCCAATGTATATATATATATATATATATATATATATATTATTATATTATATTATATGAGTACATGGACCCTTAGGGTAAGGTTCCGAAACCCCAAACCCCAATGAATGCTAGCAGGTCGCCACCCACGAAGACGTTGACGCCCCGGCTGTCAGGATAGAAGATCTCCAACAGCACGGACTCGGCGACACCGGAAATCACTTCTGCAGGTTTCTGACCTACAACTTACGGAATCCTACTGTAAGTTAAAGTAACCCCCAAACCCTGAACCCGAAAGAGCCTTTTCTTAGCTCTGTGTAGGCATTGAATACAGGACTCCCATTCAGGGACCCATCCCATTCAGGGACCCACAGCTTTCTGGCCAATAAATAGAAACCTCGCGACTGGGATGTCAGGCTTCAGCGAGCGGACTATTGCTCTCTCTGCCGTTATGCTGCACACGAATGCATTAAAGTAAAAGCCCGAAAGTTGGAATATGATTATCCTAAACCCTTTATGGTAGATTATAAGGTATCCTACCCTGAAACCATATTCCAACTTTCTGGAGTTCCCTTTAATGGGTTTGGTGCTAAGTTAAATGGCCACGGGTTTTGCAAGTCGGGCGATAGTTATGCACATAACCCAATTTCGGGTACGTGCAACTCCGGTGGACCTCGGGAAAACAAGAAAGTCCAGCAGCCTTTGACACACAAACCTCACACAACATTCTCCTTGTACAGCTTACGGTGTACCTTGATGGTCGAAGCCCTTAGACACCTAACGAATACAATCCGTCGACTTCTTCTATAGAATGCAGACCTTTCACCGGGAGTCACACCCCATACCAGCTCATTCTACTCGATTCCAAGAATTTCGATGTGTGTCTGAGTGATGTTTTTGAAAGCTTTTGTTTGCGTCCTGGGTTTCGAGACCTTCACGTTTTGAGGCTTAAGGGTGACGAAATTTAGACACTAATGCAAACTGACACCACTTCTAACCCGAATCCTGCAATCAAGACAACCCGACAGCCTCCTTAATTACAGAAGTGAAGAATATGTCTATGTTCATTGAGGGCTCCCGGGCATAACCTTTGTTTGACGGCTGCTTCTGGGCTTTGTGGTGGCCGCTGTTCCGATTGAATCCCTAAACCTAAACGCCCAACTCCTGAAGCAAAGACTAACCCAAAGGGTCCAAGTAGTAGTATAGTATAGACTTTGGGGGCCCATATACCTACGAAGTACCTGCTCCTGAAGCAAAGACGAACCCAAAAACTCCAAGTAGTAGTCTAGTATATACTTTGGGGGCCCATATACCTACGAAGTACCTACGATAACTGTACTTGGACCCTATGGGTAAACTCCTGAATCCCCTCCCCCTCAAAAGACTTACCAAAACCCCCAACACTACCAGGCTCGGCGCATCATCCGGACGGGGTGACCAGTAGCGAAGCCTTTCGAG